TATAGTATATATTGCGAAAAATATACAGTTGAACTTCCGTAAAGTTAACTTCCGTTTTTGTTTTAATCTACGTAAAAGTCATGTCTTAACTTCCCGTATAGTAATTCGCACATTTATAATCTGCGCATTTATTTACTTTTACGGAGGTCGATCGGTCCCGACAAGTTACTTTCATAGAGGTTCGATGATATTGTACGCATGTAAATTGATTTAAAAAGAATATAATAATGTATTATTCGAAACATCTAACTTTGATGGATCATGGCTTTTTTGGTGTATCGTATTTGATGTATTCATATAAACGGTGGTTTTTAAATCTTATAATGTTTATACACACGCGGCCATGTAACGCTTTCTCTCTACACATATTAGTTATTGCGAGGAATATTTCCGAAGCTTCAGTGGTCGAGTTATGATTAAGATACTCTTCCTGAAAAGTTGAGAGGTCCCAGGTTCAAACTCTGGCTGAGGTAATATTTTTTGCAATAAGTTTCTTTCTTTCTAATCTAATTTAGAGAGGATTATTAGCGTTTCAGACTGACTGTGTTGAAAGTCCGAAAGTTCTCGGCGCACAGTTATACAATATATAAAAATAAATTGATTTAATAAAAAGAATATATAATGTATTGTTCGAAACATCTAACCATGGCTTTCTTTATTTGAAAAAAATAGTTTTATTAAAAAAAAAAAAAGAAATACTACACACAAAACTACGTACATATTGCATTCATTCACTGAGTTTTTTCATCTGATTGGCATATTCCATTAGATTCTAAAATATAGACCAATCATGAAAGAGCTCACTAACCGCTCGCAGAGCATTCTGAATGCACTCATTATATTCACTGCTTATTTACTTCATCAGGAATATGAGTACGAAATCTGTGGGGAACTATGAAGCTTATAGAGCTGTCATATTTACAGCACCATAGTGCCACTGAGTGAGTAAGAATGAGATAGCACATATCTTTCTCTTTCCCATAATTTTGAAGAAAAATGCCGGACATTCTCGTAACCATGATATAAATACAAGAGTAGATTGCGATAGTATGCGCATAGAAAAATCACGTAACGGTCAAATGGCCAATCAGAATTGTCATCAAGTCATCATTCCGCGGTGAATTCAAAGTTATTACATAATTTCTTTGCAATACACATTATAGTATTACGTCCAAGCTCCACATGCATGGAGCTGAGGGGGGGGGGGGGGGAACGCAACAAGAACCAAATTATTAGACCGATTTGGTCGTGTCCAGGCTCCGGACCGCAAGGGAGCAGTGGGGAAGGACCGACGCAAATCGGGAGGCACTTCGCTTCGTTCTGAGGCTCCTAACGAGCCGGGGGTCGAACGGAGGACGAAGTGGAAATCTCTATTCGTGCTAAACGGACACACGAGTCGGACGTACCTTTAAGTTAAAGGGCCCAAATTGGGTCAGTGTGCCGGGAGGGCACACTTTAATGCCAGATGTGCCAGTACGGCCATATGCCCTGACTTTCGGTCATGGAACTTAATCCAAGTGACCGGGCAGAGGGCGAAGTGCAACGGCGGGAGAGCTAATGCATATAAAGAGAGGTTATATTTAAATAAATGACAACCGAGAAGTTAATTTAATAATGGTATAATAAAAGGCAATATTTGGTGATACATTTTCTTTGAGTAAATAAAAAAAGATACAATTTTTTATTCTCTATTCTAGAATATATGTACGCATTTATACGTGCGTGCGCGCGCGCGCGCGCGTGTGTGTGTGTGTATGAAAAGAGAGTCACAATGCGGATGTTACTTTGAATATGGAGAAAAGAGGAGGAAAAAATTGAAGTTGCGTAGGGTCATATGGTTGGAAGAAAAGAGGATTAATGGGAATGAGGGATGGTATGGGGACTGAAAATAGGCCATCGAATCCCGCGATGCTTACTATTGCTCGGTCTTTAGTGGGGGGGGGGGGTAAAGTAGGACATATATTCTAATAGTTGATGGGCGTTATGAAAGAGGAGAGGAAGGTGACCAGAGGGAGAGTAAGCATCAGTTTGAGCATTAGGAATTGAGGGAGTGGTATGCGAGACGGGAAGTTGAGTAATCGGGGGTGTAATGCCCCCGAGTAATGCCGGATGTGGAACAGAGGGAGGACTGGACAGGACATGATCAGCAAAGAAATCTGGAGACATATCGGAAATAGAGAAGTAAGATATTTCAAGTGGTGGCGGTAGAGTTGTAACTGGAGACTGACCGACCGGAGTCTTTTCTTGGGCCGATGGTTGAATTAATGATTGCTCTTGTGAGTTTTTCGCGATGTTATATCGGACACGGGCAGAGAGTCGGCGCGATCTGTTAGTCCCTGCTAGGTGACGGCGACGAGGGGCGGAAGAACTGCGTGAACGCACTAAAAATTTAGTCGTTTACTTTAAAGTGGGACCCAAAAAAAAGAAGGGGAGGGACCACCCAATGTAT